AATGTTTAATTTAATATTCAGCACTTTCATATTTCAAAGTGCTTGTGCTATGCGCTACCATTCAAATGTTTGGGGTCAGTAAGATTTTTTTTGGAAAAAAAAAAACAAAAAACTTAAATTCAGCAAGAATGCAAGAAATTGATGAAAAATGTCACAGTATTGTTACAAAAACTTAAGGGTTTCAGCAGCAACCAGTTTTAACTGACAATAATAAGACTTTTTTTTTGAGCACCAAATCAGCATATTAGAAATAGAATGATAGCATGTTTTTGTGAGCATGAGCCTTCTTTCAAAAACATTAAAATCTTACTGACCCCAAACTTTTAAACGGTAGTGGATATTTTTCATATGTTATGTTGTAAGTGATAAAACCGTTTCATCTAAGCTACACTTTTTTTTTTTATGCAGGACAACGTAATATTAATAGGTCATTCAGCAGGGGCTCATCTGTGTGCTCTTACCACACTGTTTCTGGTGAACAATGCAGATGAACTGTTCCTTGAGGCCAACAAACAGAGAGATCTTGTATCTGCCATTAAAGGAATCATAGGTAAATCAATGCACCATATTTATTATGTTTCTTGCATTATGATTGTTTATAATTTAGCATAGCAGTTGCCCTGTTGATGTAGCTGGTTCTTAGTAGGGCTTAAACGTACGGATCAAGCCCCACGGTTCGGCACGCATGTGATCCGCGGATTAATTGCAAAATTTAACCATAATAGAGTATAAGTTTATCATTTGTTCGTATTTACACAAGCAAGCGAATTTTAAACAATTCCAGAGAGAAAAGGCGAAAGGGAACTCGATTCGTTACTCACGCGCACAGCCGCACACACATGAAGCGCGCATGAACACCGAACTGAATCCTCTGAACAGACACATACACATAATATTTTGATTTTTTTTGCTGCTGTCATTAATGATCATCAAACAACAAAACAGCTGTGATAAAAATCGATATTTAATTTATACAGTGAACACTATGCAGTGTTATTTCCCTAAATATTACATTTCTGTATTTAAATACTACCAGCCTTATTTTATTTGTAACATATTCTGTTGTATTTATCTATGCTTGTAATTTGTGTATTTGTTCTTATGTTTACTGGCTGTCTGTTCTCTTGTGTCTTTAATCCTGTTTAAACTTTCTTAGTTAATCTAGTAGTATTTGCTGTGGTATCAAAGAAGTACTTCGCTTTAAGTAATAAATGGAAAGCAAGTTAAATTGAAATCTTTTTCTTTTCTTGCTGATCCGAAAAATGATCCGATCCGGGGGTCAAAAACCGTAATGTGATCCGAACCACTAGTTCTTAGTAAAAAAAACTTGATTAAGTAACGTGATTCATGTTGTGATTTTTGTTTTTGTAATAGGTTTGAGTGGCGTTTACAGTATAATGGATCATTATAAGCATGAGAAAGTGAGGGCGGTTGAATATGTGTCAACTATGCACAAAGCCATGGATGGTGTGGAGAACTTTGATTATTATTCGCCGACATCATTACTCAAGAAATTGAATGAGGATCAGTTGAAAAGGTATTGTTGTTGTTGTTTCTATTGACACACTGTCAATGTCCAACAGCTGAAGCAGCAATACATTCATTTGTATTATTTGTTTCATT